GGCTGACACCACAGCACTCTAGCTAGCCCTGGCAACAGAGTGAGACTCTGTCTCCAAAAACAAACCAAAAAAACACAACAAAACTAGAATTGCTAGATAGATTTATAACAAAAAATTCTTTTAAAATCATAGTTGAGCTCACAAGAAAGAAAGAAATTTCTACATGGTAGAAACAACTGAAAAGAAACGAACTGAAAATCAGAATGGTCAGTGTGTAATCTGATGCAGAAATTGAATTTGGGGTTATTATTTTCATAATCTAGGGATTAGATCTTATTACTGAGGACAGAAGATGAGGGAGAGGACTCAAGTGAGGCAGAGGATTAAAAGTGACTCCCAACATAAAAGCTGGGACTCTTACAGAACTGTATCATCAATCCTCAATGAAAGAGTAGAAAATTAGTAAGTTGAACATTCAAAGTCCAGGGCAAATATCTTAGATGAGTTTGCGATTCAATATTACACTACTGATGTAATTCAGAAACCTACCAACTGAGAAATTAATAAAAACCTTAGACCCTGGTTATCTCTAGAAATCCTAGCTGATATAAAACCAAAATTGTTGAGTGGAGGCACTGTCACACAAAAAGGTCATAAGAAAAGTCTCAAAAAAATAAAAACAAAAAATAATAACAACAAAAAAGCCCAACCAAACAAAACAAACCAGCACTACTAAAGATATGCTCATAATATTATTAAAACACATAAGCTGGGCATGGTGGCATAAGCCTATAGTTCCAGCTACTCTGGTGACTGAAGCAGGAGGATCACTTGAGCCCAGGAGTTAGAGGCTAGCCTGGGAAACATAGCAAGACTCCATCTCTAAAAAAAAAAAAAAACACAACAGCAAAAACAGACTCTCCAAAATGTGCAAAATGTGAAATAGGAAATAATTTGACAGAGAATATAAAATGTGTACATTTCAAGTGAGTAAAGATATACAAGAAAGCATGAACACACTAAGAAAAAAATACATGATAAAAAAAGAATAGAAATGTTTTATTTATTTATTTATTTATTTATTTATTTATTTATTTATTTATTTATTTTTTTGAGACAGAGTCTCGGTTTGTTGCCCAGGCTAGAGTGAGTGCCGTGGCGTCAGCCTAGCTCACAGCAACTTCAAACTCCTGGGCTGGAGTGATCCTTCTGCCTCAGCCTCCCGGGTAGCTGGGACTACAGGCATGCGCCACCATGCCCGGCTAATTTTTTATATATATATCAGTTGGCCAATTAATTTCTTTCTATTTATAGTAGAGACGGGGTCTCCCTCTTGCTCAGGCTGGTTTCGAACTCCTGACCTTGAGCAATCCGCCCGCCTCGGCCTCCCAAGAGCTAGGATTACAGGCGTGAGCCACAGCGCCCGGCCTATTTATTTATTTTTTATTTCTTGGCCCCACAAAAGCAGCAAGGAAAAGAATAGAAATTTTTGACAAAGAACAAAATAGAACTACAGAAATAAAAAACAAAGTAGAAAAAACAAATGACAACTCAATAGGCAGTTATCAGCAGAAGCTGAAGAATTTATGAACTTGAAGACATTTATGAGGTTACCCAGTGCCTAGTATATGCATGAGAGGTTAAGCAACGTAGAGGAAAGAATGAGGCAGTTTATAGCTCATGAGAAATGAAGAAGGGGAGAAGAGTGAGAAATGAGGAAAGAATAGTATTTGAAGAAATAATGCGTGAGAATTTTCTAAAATCAATGAAAGATACCATCCTTAGATCAATAAGCACAATTCTTAAGCAGAAAAAATAAAGCTAAGATTAGACACACTATGATAAAAATGCAGAACACTTAAGACAAAGGGAAAATCCTAAAGGAACCAGGCAATTACTTCTAAAGGAGTAATTAGAATGATTTCTCAATAGCAATCATAGAGGCCAGAAAAGATGGAATATTTTCAAAGTGCCAAAAGAACAAAACTGTCAATCTAGAACTCAATGCTCAGCTAAACTATCTAACTGAGGGCAAAGACTTTTCAAGGACTGATAGAGTGCATATCACTAAATAGTTCTTTACTGAAAAAACAATAAAAGGATGTATTTCAAAAAGGATGCTGACATTTAAAAAGAAAGGAGACGTGAAGAATGAACAAACTGGCAAACATGTTTATGAAACACCACAACAATTACTACTAATTTGGAATGATATAAAAAAAAACAAGGTAAAACTAAAATACTAGACAATAGAAACACTGCAGATGGGAAAAGAAAATAAGTTTTCAGGAAGAAGATAAAGCAATCCACATTAAAACTATGGTTTTTAAACTCTCGATATGCATCAGCATCACCTGGAATGCTTGTTGAAAACAGACTGTTGGGCCTTACCCTCAAATTTCTGATCAAAGAGGTCTGGAAGTGGAGGCTAAGAATTTGCATTTCTAACAAGTTCCAAGGTGATCCTGATAATGCTCCTCCAGGATCACTTTGAGAATTAATGTACTGATTTTAAGTCAAATAAGTACGTTAAAAATTTAAAGGTAAGCACCCAAATGACTAAAGCAGTAGAATACAGCTGACCCTTGAATAACACAGGTTTGAACTGCATGGGTCTGTGTGTTATGTACATTTTCTTCTGCCTCTCCTATCTCTGAGATAGCAAGAACAACCATCCTCTTCCTCCTCGGCCTACTCAATGTAAACGTGAAGACTTTTATGATGATTCATTTCCACTTAATGAATAAATATATTTTCTCTTCCATATGATTTTCTTAATAACATTTTCTTTTCTCTAGTTTACTTTATTGTAAGAATACACTATATAATATATATAAATATAAAATATGAGTTAATGAACTGTTTCTGTTATCTGTATGGCTTCTGGTCAATAGCAGTCTATTTATTAGTAATTAAGTTTCTGGGGAGTCAAAAGTTATATGAGGATTTTCAACTGTGTGGGGGTTGCAGGGGGTCAGCACCCCTAAACCCTGTTTTGTTCAAGGGTCAACTGTGTATCATTTACAAGCCAAAGAAGGGAAAAAGGAGGAATAAAGAAAAATAAATCAATCCTATGAAAAGCAGGAAAAAAGATGGCAGAAATAAATCTAACTCTATTATGAAATCACAATGAATATGAAAGGACTACAATTACTAGTTAAAAAACAAAGATAGATTAAAGATGATTCTACTATATGCTAAACATATTACTAATATAAAGCTATAAATAAGATAGTGGGGTTAATGGCACAGACACAAAGTGACCGACGAAGTAGAATAGAGAACCCACAACTAACCACATGCACGTACAGAACTCTGATATATGATAGAAATGACACTGCAGATCACTGAGAAAAGGACAGACTACTCAATAAATAGAGCCAGAACACCTGGTTATCACGAGGGGAAAAAAATCAACTTAGAATTAAATACTTAAATGTGAAAAGCAAAACTTAAAACTTTTAGAAGAAAATACAGGAGTAGGGAAGGATTTCTTAAACAAGACACAACAAGAACCACAAAAGACTGCTAAATTCAACTGAGTCAGGAGATCAGAATAGGGAATATAGGTGGGGCAGAACAACAGGAACAAAATTAGGGTGATGGATCAATGTGAACAAAAGCTATGATCAAGCTGCAATTGATCCTTATGAATAACCAACTGTTCTGGCTCTATTACAAATACACCTTGTTTATCACAGTTTGGGGAAGCTCCTCGGGAGATACCTGCACTGATGGAGGGCAAGAGTGTCCTCAAGTGATTCTGGCTTCATTATACCATCGTTACTATAAATCACTGCCCCCTGACTATGGGCTTTGGAAGCCAGACACATCTGGGCCTCGACAAATAAAGCAAAAAACTCCCATGCATAATGGATGGGAGGAGATAACATTTTCAGTGGCCTAGGGGAGGACAACACAAGAATGAGGAAGTCAGAAGAAGGGAAGAGGAAGAGACCCCAGGGCCACCATCTGCTTGGAGGTGTTTCCTCTCCTGCCCCCTTCTGGAATGTACTATCACTTCCTAATCTTTCTTGACACCATCCTCCATGTCTGGAAATATACTTGCTTAATAAACTTCTTTCACTTTACTCTGCTGCTTTGGTGTTTGGTTTTAATGCTTTGTCTCCAAATACAAGGACCAAGGATATATACAAGGACATGCTTAATTTTTTTTTTTTTTTTTTTTTAAGACAGGGTCTCGCTCTGTTGCCCTGGCTAAAGTATAGTGAGGTTGTCATGGCTCACTGCAACCTCAAGCTCCTGGGCTCAAGCAATCTTTTTGCCTCAGTCTTCCAAGTAGCTGGGACTACAGGAGTGCACTACCATACCCAGCTGATCTTCTATTTTTTATAGAGATGGGGTCTTGGTCTTGCTCTGGCTCATCTAGAACTCCTGGCCTCTACCAATCTTCTTGCCTCAGCCTCCCAAAGTGCTAGGATTACAGACGTGAGCCACCATGTCCAGCCACCATGCTTTTAAATTCTCTCAATTTTGATTTGTTGCTTTTTCTATTTTCTTGATATAAAAATTAAGGAAACTAAGTATTTAACATTTTCAGTCTCCATATAAATGCATGTAAAGTTAAAAGTGTATATCTAAATTCTGATTTAGCTATGTCCCACAAATTTTTGATAATTACTATTTTGTCATTTTTTCCCCAAGTATTTCTTAATTTCCTTTATAGTTTCCTCTTTAACCCAGAGATAGCAAAATGTCACTTACTTTATTTAGAATTTTAAGCTAGTTTTTTGTTATTAATGTTAATTTTATTTCATTATGGTCAAAGAATACTGTCTATTATGATACTGAGCATTTGGAATGTATTAAGACTTTTAATAATCATATATGGTCTATTTTCATAAATGTTTCGTGTTTTCTCTAAAAAATAGTGGATATCATTTGTTTGGTATTTAACTTCATAACGTAAGTTAGTACGTGTTTTTCCAGTCTATGGTATATATGAAATACCACATTTAAAAAGAAAAAACAGGGAAAAGATGACTTAAATATGCTAATTGATACTGCACTGGGAACAAAATCCTCTATTTAGTACTTACTGGTCAAGTGTCTTATAATAAATGTCCAGATCCTTGTTCACAAGCTCTGTTGTTCTCATAACAATCATCATTTCTCTATACTTTTCCTCAGCATCACGAAATTGAGGTTCTCGAAGTTCTCTCTTAAAATGAAGAATTTCTTCCTCATAACCTTTCTGTCGCCCTAATGCCAAACTGTGATTTCTTTTTATATTTTCTATGTTCTCTTCCAACTTCTGATGTTCACTGTAAAAGGGAAAAATGACAAATAAAGACCATTTTTTAGCCACTGAAGTGGAAAAATCATAGATCTCTTTAGATAGGTGTCATTCTCTGCAGCAATCAGTATATGACAACAGAGTCTCTCCTTGTTTTTTAATCAAGGCTTCAGTACTAAAGAAAATTCTCTTCCTTCCAAATCTCTGCAGCACATAGGTTTTGAACAGCTAATTTTTATGGGCTAAATAGGGAAACTTCACCACATGTGAGCACTGAGAAAGTACCTGACTTTTAGATACTGACTAACCTATGCAAAATACTCTTAGTGATTAATATTACAAATTCACAAATTTCTGATTGTGAAATAAGAATGCACAATTACCAACACTGAGAAGTTATTGGATACACTTCACCATTTTGCTTACAATACATCGAAGATGCAATACAATTTTATCCAAGTTAAAATTAATTTTCTGCAGTAAAACTTACTACAAATTTTGACTCCTCTATGAAAACAAAATTTCTATTCCACAAGTATAAAAACCACAATACTGACCAAAAAGAAGTAAAATACCTAAACTTTTCTGAGACTTTGGCAGAGTACACAAATTTCAATGTATGCTTTAAAATTTTTCATTTATTTAACAACCACTTGTTAACCACCCTCTCTATGTGCCAACCACTGCTCTCAAGTTCATGGACAGCCTTGTAGAGTTGGTCTGATTATGTTTTGTTGACATTTCTGTTGCGTCCTGGTTGAAGAAAGATTTGAAAAAGATCAATTGTACTTAGTAATCTGAATGAATGTAAGTTAAAAAAGCATTGTTATGTACCTATCACAGAAGGAATTTTAAAAATATCTCGTTTTGGTCCTTAATAAGCAAAGAATAAATTATTTCATTTAAAAGCTTTACTTTTACAGCTTGTCACAGAATGCACTAACATTGTGTAGCATTAAAGAGGTGCGGATTGGGAGCTAGGACAGCAGGCTCACATTTCTGGCTTTTATCATAATTTCCTCTGATTTTTCTGCGCCTCAGCATCCAAATGCATAAAAAATGAAGAGACTGAAGATGACAAGCTTTTCCAGTTAAAAAGTCTGATCTCCTTGATGTACAAAAGAGATTTTAAATAGCTAAACCAAGAGTGCTTACAATAACACAGGATTAACCATTTGTTAGGTTTTATAAATTAACATAAAACTTCACTTTACTATATCCTTTAGAAAAACCTAAGCATTGTGTGATTCAGGTTTCTGTATAAATTCAAGACGACATATGAAAAATATACAAGGAAGGGTTGAATGATTGAGAAGCCTAGATTTTACCAGCAGAGGTGATTAAAAATCTAAGTATTTGGCTAGTACAACCTTTTACACCAGACTAGTCCCTTAGCATCAACCAGGTTCTTACAGAATTCCTACCTCTAAGGCAGGCATGGCAGGAATAAAATCTTTCCGGCTGTACCAGAAAGGTAGCAACTACAATAAGCACCAGTAAGACCAGATAAAGGAAACATCAGGTTCATTTAAAAAAAATGCTCTAGTGGGCACATAATTACATCTGCGAAAATCTAGGATATGTCTTCACCGACAAATGACTCTGGCAATAACTCCACTGGCAACAGTACAGACCGCACAAGCCCTGACCCAGGCAGGGTCCACGAGCACATATTCTTCACGTTCAGGACCACTACTGTGTATAGCAGGCTAGCAACACGACTGGGGACTTGGCATGTTTAATACTGAATAACTACTGCCATCACCATGGTGATTACCAATTCTACATCACTTCTTTAGTAATTCAGTTCTTAAGGCCATGAAATATATTTCTACCAAAACCCTGTTCATCTTCCTATAAGTCTCAAGGGATACTAGACTGAGGCTTAAATTATTTTTAAAAACAGATATTTAATATTCTTCAGATTCAATAAAAACTTTTATTTAAACTAAAGACTATTTTTTGAAACATACTTTTTCATTTGTAAAACCTGCATTTGACCCATTTCCTTCAAATGTTGTTTCCTTTCTTCTTCAACTTCTTTTAATTCCTCGTTTCTTTTTCTTAAAGTAAGGTTATCCTGTAGCCACCTTTCTTGTATCTAAATGTAAACATTAAATCAGTTAACAAAAAGAACCAAGTTACTAACATGAGATCCATAACAGGCAACTGCTGATCAGCAGTGCCAACTGTGCCTTATTCAGAATCATATCGAATTCAACACAAATCTGGCCACTGGGAAGGAATCTCCAGGTCTGGACTGATCTGAACGACCCACCCCATTCTCAATCACAAGTGTGACATCTCTTGTAGTGCAGCTTTTACTGCCCTTTACTGACCATGATCTAAAAAAGAGGTCTCATGTTTGATGGGGAGTCCCATAATAAATGATTTGAGCATATATCTTTGTATACTTATTTATAAAGTATTAAAATATTTAGTAAAAATCCTATTAAATAGTATTCATTATAAAACATACAAAATAGAAATTTAAAATGATGAAATAAAAAATATGACTAGACATTTTAATATTTAATACCTAGACGGTCTTGCATAGGAACCCCACAATGGAGCCTACTGATCTAAAAGATCACAAGAGGTCAATACTATCAAAATCTCCCCCAACTTTTTCTTCCATTTGTCTCCTAACATGTGTCAAGACTGTTAGGTATCACATGTCAGATATAACCTCTACCTTCAGGTTGATGATGATCACATAAGGCAGTAAACCATGCGATAATAGTAGTATTTATCTCTGAACTTCTTCATACTTTCCTGGCTACTGAATTCAAATTTTTAAAAACTGGCTGTTTTTGTTGAGTAGCTTTGTCCTTGAAAAGAGACCCAATCACTTAGCAGTAGCAGCAGCAATACGACAATTATTTCAGTAGTTTTCCTGGTGGTTATGATGGACTGTGTTGTCAAGAGACAAACATTAGAAAACAATTTATAAGATGACTATTTGAAATTTAGAAAAAACCCTTTTTCTGCAGAAACAATGGTGGTTTGGCCCACAAAAGCCCATATGTAGAAAACTTATCTATCCCAAGTTCAGAGTAAGGACTTCCCAAAGATGGAGCTGGAACCCTCCTGCAGTAGCCCTCTCAGCTAAGATAAAGTCAGCCATGTGGGAAGCGGACAGATGGGCAGACCTGTGGCAATATCTTGTTGCCAACAGTAAAGGCCGGAGGGTAGATGGGAGTGAGAAAGGAAGTCAAGAACTTCTCTCACATGCTTAATGTTCACATCTAAGCTGGCCATAGATGAATCACCATTTTTAGAGTCTTTTTTTTTTTTAATAGCCAGAAAGTAAGACTACTTTCATTTTTCCTGGAAATAATAATATAAATATATAAGTCAGCCCTCAACAGGGCCACATCCACAGATTCAACCACCTATGGATTAAAAATATTTTGGGGAAAAATAACAATACAATATTTAAAATAATGCAAATTTTAAAAATACAGTATAAAATCTATATAGCATTATGTTGTATAAGGTATCATAAGTAATCTAGAGATGATTTAAAGCATACAAGAGGATGTGGGTATGTTACATGCAAATATTATATATGCTATTTTACATAAGGGACTTGTGCACCCCAGATTTTGGTATCTGTGGGGTCCTCAAGCTAATTCCTGCAGATACCAAGGTAGGCCTGTATTTATTAAAGGCATTATTATAAGCAATCAAAGATAACTGCTTTTTCCTTATTAGGAACATGGGAATGTGTTGCTTGCTTTCATCCGATACTATGTAACACCTGAATCTGCTTTCATGAAGACAAGAAAGGACTCTTCAAAGCGCTATCACATTTTTAGGTGAGACTGATTTTTGGCATGAAATATTGTTCCTGGTCTGTTTGCCTGCAGGATTACCAGAAAGCTAGGCATTTCTTTCTTTTAGGTCAGCTTCTATTATTCTTTCTTTAGTTTTGATGGAGAGTACATAGCACAGTAGTTAAAGCACACAGGCTTTGAAGTTAGGTATATCTGGACTCAAATCTCAGTGCTACAATTTTTAAACTAGAAAACAGGCAAATTAATTTAAGCTCTGTGAGCCTCAGTTTGCCAATAACATGGTGATAATGATACTCCCATCATAAAGAGCTATTGTGAAGATTAAATGAATTAGTGTATATAATCAGTAGTGTGTCTGGCTCAGTAATTACTAGTAAAAATGCCTTTAATAGAGAAAATAAATGATATAAACATCAATCAGGAAATGACTTAACATATAAATACTTTCCTTATAGATAACTTTTAAGAATTAGACCTCAATCCCTCTTTTGTGAATTTATCCTATATAAAGATATAAAAAAAGACACAGAAATATGTAGAAGGATATTCACTGACACACAGTTTGCAACAAGAAAAAAATAATAACCTATGTTATGGCACATCCACATCCATATAATCATTAAAAAGAATGTGACATATCTGTGAGTTGATATGTAAGATTGAATTACATTAAATAAAAAAAGGTACAGAATAATATATTTGGTATGATGCCATCTATAAAAGTAAATTTAAATACACATATACTCTTAATCTATCTGATGGCATATAAATAAAAAACTAAGAACAAACAAGAAACTGTAACAATAAAAACATTTAGAAGTGAAACTGGAAATTAGGAGAAGGGGAGGGAACACTTTTAATTTTATGCCTTTATGTTTAAAATTTTATCAAGAGTCTTTTGTTGAAAATACAAATGAAAATAAGGAAATAAGAAAAGAAAGTGTTAATGGAATTGCTTTCGTCCTACTGTTTGCATTGTTATTTAATGGATCTTCTATTGAAAAGAAAACTACATATAAAAAAGAACATTATAGGTATAAGTAATACCATAAGCAAAAAAGACCTACCTTCTGTGTATCAATATCTTGTCTCATGATTCCCATTTCTTTATTTATTTTTTCTTTGTGTTTGTCACATTCACTTAGTTGAGCTATTACTTTATTAAGTTCAGTTTCTTTTTGCTACAAAAAAGAGACTTCTTTAAGAACATGAAATAAAAATATAACCAAATAGGTAATTTTAAGTTTTAAATTACTTGCTTATAGTCGTCTTTCCCATCTTGAATGTAATTCTCAATGTCTTTCACATAACCATGAATATTTTTAACCTTCTCTTTAATATCATTCACCTGTAGAAAAATATTAAAGTTACATTGGTTGGGACCAGGGCACTTAATAGAAGAGCTTAATAAAACATTGGCTTGGAAGTTATGAACCTTGAGTTCCAGTTTCCACCACTACCAAATTTTATGATCTCAGACAAGTCCCTTTATCATCTATGGGAATGGATTAAATAGTATCAATTCTTAGCTTCTATTTTTAGATCAAGCAGCAAAATAAGTTAAATCCTTAATCTTAAAAAAATCCTTATTCTTACAGAAATTTCTAATATCAAAATTATATCATGAATCTGAAAATACTACTTATCTTATTTAATTTCATGTGAAATAATAGTGTCCAACATGGTGCTATAAGCGTAAGTTTAATATAGATACTGGTAAGCATATAAACGAAATCTTACTTTATCTTGTGCTATTTTGTTGCTTGTATTCTTTTTGTTGATTAATTCTTCTTTTTCCTGCTGGAACTTTTCCAATGTTGTTTCCAAAGGGCTCACCTGCTCTTTAGCATCCTAAAAATATTAACAACATGAAGTCTTATGTAATATTCCATTATCTTATTGTAGGTGTCAGACTTTACAGTCTTAATAAAACCATTTTTATGTGCCAAGTTTTCAAAGTCAACTCATTTGCTCCTTTCAATGACCCTATGAGGAAGGCACATTTATTTTCATCCCCGTATTTCAAATGAACAAACAGGCAAAGGGAATGAATTATTGAGGCTCACAATAACCAATAAATGAAGCAGCTAGGATTCTAACCCAGTTCAGCTTGAGTTCATTCTCTTAACCAGGATGAATGCTATACTGCCTCAGTCACTAACTTGAGTCTTTTTTTTTTTTTTTTTTTATTCTTTTTTACCACAGCCAACTCAGAAGGAGCTAACTTGAGTCTTAATCTAAGCCATGTGCTTCCTATTATATTAGCATATGTCTTCAGGCATGAATTTTCATGATTTTATAGGCACCCATGTCAGCTCTGTGTGATCAAAGAATAGGAAAGCTCATTAAGTCCAGGCGTCTCTTTTACGGACAGGTATATGATGATAAAAGCACTTCTGTCCTTAAACTTAGTCTGCTAAGACTAAGCAGATATTTTACAGTAATAAAGGCATACTGTTACACCGATGATGCTGTGTCCATGCCTATTCTGGAAGGAAGGGGACTTTCAAGTAATAAACTATCTTACTAATCAGAAGTCCCCATTATTTAGCCTTCATAGCATTTCTACAACATAATTATATGATGACCACTGATGAAAACAGTGATCCTCAAGCACTTTAAGATCCTGAAATATCGATTGAATCTATAAAGGTAGATATAATTATTTAGTATTACTTCAATGAAGGTATATTTTATCATACTGGGAAGTGGTATGATGTGGCAGGAAGTCAAATATCTTTAGTGTTCAGAAGATCTATCTGAAAATCAACCCTGCCTATTAGCTGCATGAACTTTGGCAACTCATGGGACATTTGTAAATCTCAATTTCTTTTTCTATAAAAATGAGATTTAGTCATCTATCTCAACAGGGTTGCTGAGACACCGAATAGTTTAATGTCAAAGTGCTTTTTTTTTTTTTTCTGAGACAGAGGCTTGCCCTGTTGCCCTCGGTAGAGTGCAGTGGCATCATCATAGCTCAAACTCCTGGGCTCAAGCGATCCTCCTGCCTCAGCCTCCCAAGTAGCTGAGGCTACAGGCATGCATGACGCCTGGCTAATTTTTCTACTTTTAGTAGGGATGGGGTCTTGCTGTTGGTTGGACCTGTCTCAAACTACTGAGCTCAAACAATCATCCCACCTCAGCCTCCCAGAGTCCTAGGATTATAGTGTTAGCCATCATGCCCAGCCCAAAGTGCTTTATAAACAGTAAAAAAATTATACAAATGCAAGGTAGTATTATTTTATATCATTTTCTAAGCCTATGATATTTTGTAATCCAAAATTATTAATCAAGAAACATTTGTAGCAATGATAAACAGATTCAGTAATATATTTAGTGCTGAATGCATGTGTGTAATTATGAAAACCTAGGTAAGAATGTTGCTAAAACTGTTCATAAACTTAATTAGTTGAGTCTTAGATTTGATTCATCTAAATAAGGGATGACAAATGCATTCTAGCAGCAACTCAGTGCCTGCTCACTGTATTGGTAAGAACTTCAAGACTACATCTAGAATCAAACAGAAAGAGTGCCATGACTGAGTGTCTGCCATGGATATAGGATTTTTAGATAAAACAAACCTCCCATACAAGCAGGAATCCTTATCTGGAGTTATACAACCACCACCTGACCACCTCCAATAACATACAGTTCACTACTTAACCACGCAGCCAGTTCTTCCTTATCATGGCCAAACTCCTCCTTCCAGAAATCTTTACTTATTAGTAAAGTTCTGATATTCAGGAATCACATAAAGAACTGTCAAATCATTTTCATTTGATCCTCACAATAGTCATGGTTCTATCCTCTACACCAATAAAAAGTATTTTATATATATGAACTAATTTCAAGAACACATGCATAAATGTTCTTACCTTTATCTCTCTGTACAAAGACTGAACTTCAGTGGACAATTCCACAGTCTGCTCCTCCAGCTGCTGACGACGTTGCAAATTACTGGATATCTGAAGTTTCTCTGATTTTAGTTCGTTTGCAGTACTTTTAAGGTGTTGAATCTGTTCTTGTTGATCCTGTATAAGCTTACGATTTAATTCAATCTTACTGGAAACTGTAAGGAAGCATATTAACACGGTGATTAACGTAAGGGTACAAAAAATACTATTAGTATCATTCTCCTAGTCTATGGAATCCACCAAGGCTGAGCTCCTGTGGGCCCCACCCACTGCAACAAAAGTGTACCAAGGACCCTGCCATTCCCCAAGATGCCTGATGTCCTCTCCTCGCCACTCACAGGTAAAGCTCACAGGGCAGGTATGACTGAGAGTACAACTCATCTGATACTCTCTGACCATTCAAAATCTATCATCCAAAACAAGGAAACAAAGAGAAGTGATGCTTTTGAGAAAAGAATGAATATACTGTGAGCTGTAAAGAAGCTCCTTGTCCATGTAAGAGGTACAAAATTTATTATAAAAAGCATATGCTGGCGGCCAGGCGCGGTGGCTAACGCCTGTGATCCTAGCGGGAGGATTGCTCAAGGTCAGGAGTTCGAAACCAGCCTGAGCAAGACCCCCATCTCTACTAAAAACAGAAACAAATTAATTGACCAACTAAAAATATATATACAAAAAATTAGCCGGGCATGGTGGCACATGCCTGTAGTCCCAGCTACTCGGGAGGCTGAAGCAGCAGGATTGCTTGAGCCCAGGAATTGGAGGTTGCTATGAGCTAGGCGGACGCCACGGCACTCACTCTAGCCTGAGCAACAAAGTGAGACTCTGTCTCAAAAAAAAGCATATGCTGGCAATATCGGTCTTTATGGTACACATGAGGAAACAGACTATATTACCTGTATCTAATTTGTGTTGTTTTTCTTGTTTTTCCTGGTTTACTTGTTGAACAGTTCGACCTAAGTCTATTCCTTGTAGCTTAGCTGCTTGTTGTGCAATTTTTCTTTCAACATCTTTAAGTTCCATCTGAAGAATAAAGTTATATCCTTTAAGAAACTTACGTTATCATTATTCAAAATCTTTAAGAATTACTATTATCAATTATTTTTTAAAATCTAAACTTACAGGCCAGCCATGATGGCTCACACCTGTAATCCAAGAATTACTATTATCAATTATTTTTTATTTATTTTATTTATTTATTTATTTATTTTTTACACAGAGCCAAGGACTGTATATCAATTATTTTTTAAAATCTAAACTTATAGGCCAGCCATGATGGCTCACACCTGTAATCCTAGCACCTTGGGAGGCCAAGGCAGGAGGATCACTTGAGGTCAGGAGTTTGAGACCAGCCTGAGCAACATAGCAAGATCCTGTTTCTAGAAAAAAATAGAAAAATTAGCTGGGCATGGTGGCAAACCCCTATAGTCCCAACTACACAGGAGGCTGAGGCAGGAAGATCGCTTGAGCCCAGGAGTTTGAGGTTGCAGTGAGCTATGATGACACCACTGCTCTCATGCCTGGGCAAGACCCTGTATCAAAACAAACAAACAAAAACTAAACTTATAAACCATTTCCAGGTATGATTTTAGCCAAGTTTAATAGGTTAAAAGTGAAATTATGGCCGGGCGTGGTGGCTCACGCCTGTAATCCTAGCACTCTGGGAGGCCGAGGCGGGCGGATTGCTCGAGGTCAGGAGTTCGAAACCAGCCTGAGCAAGAGCAAGACCCCGTCTCTACTATAAATACAAAGAAATTAATTGGCCAACTAATATATATATATATATAAAATTAGCCGGGCATGGTGGCGCATGCCTGTAGTCCCAGCTACTCGGGAGGCTGAGGCAGAAGGATTGCTTGAGCCCAGGAGTTTGAGGTTGCTGTGAGCTAGGCTGACGCCACGGCACTCACTCTAGCCTGTGCAACAAAGTGAGACTCTGTCTCAAAAAAAAAAAAAAAAAAAAAGTGAAATTAAATTTTAGCAATGCTAATGATATAAACAAAAGGAAGCTGACTAAAAATGAAAGACAACCAGAATTATGTCTTAATTTCCATAATTTATAAACAAAAAAATTTAAACACAGTAATGTAAACTAAGCAGTTGCTCCCTGAGGCTACCTCAATTCAGGATGCAGAACTCTAAATACAATCTGTGCCTGCATACTGTTTTTAACACTCTCACTCTTCACATTCAAGCCACCACAGAATGAGTTTTATACAAGTTTATTCAACTACAATAAACTTACCTGGAACCTCTCCATAATTGTAACATCTGTGAGACATACTTTAGCACTTTCTTCTTCAGGCATTATTGTACCCAAGAGTGTTTCCTGTTCTTCTATGTCATTCTTTAGGCGCTGTATGTCTCTATTAACATTCTGCAGTTTGTTTCTTAATTCTGGTATTTCCTTCTCCTTCAAATCAATTATGCTTTGCCTTAACAGAAAACGTATAATTAAAAATAATCTATCTGGCTGGGTGCAGTGGCACACGACTGTAATCCTAGGACTCTGGGAAGCCGAGGTGTGAGGATCGCTCAAGGTCAGGAGTTCAAAACCAGCCTGAGCAAGAGCGAGACCCCGTCTCTACTAAAACATAGAAATAAATGAATTGGCCAACTAAAAATATATAGAAGAAATTAGCTGGGCATGGTGGTGCATGCCTGTAGTCCCAGTTACCGGGAAGGCTGAGGCAGGAGGATTTCTTGAGCCCAGGAATTTGAGGTTGCTGTGAGCTAGGCTGACGCCACAGCACTCTAGCCGGGGCAATAGAGTAAGACCTGTCTCAAAAAATAATAATAATAATAATCTGAGGTTTCTCGTAATTACACTGAGGTTATGTATTTTGGGGAAGAATACCATAAAAGTGAGACTGTATGATCTACAATGCATCGTATCTGCGGGTACATGACATCAATATGTCTTATTTTACTGGTGATGTTAATCCTTAATCACTTAGTTAAGGTGGTGACAGCCAAACTTCTCCCTTGTAAAGTTACTATTTTGCTCTTTGTAATTAATAAATGTCTTAGGAGAGATACATTTAGATTATGTAAATATCCTGCTTTCCCTCCAACTTCTGCACACTGATTTTAGTATTCATTAGTAGATCCTGCTTGCAATAGTAATAACTGTGGTGTTTGCCAAACTGAGAGATATTCTATAAATTAACTGGTCATATTCATCAAAAATGTCAAGGTCATGAAAAACAAAGATAGACTAATGAACTGTTACAGACCACAGGAGCCTAAGGAGAAATAACAACTAGATGCAATGTGAAATCCTGGATTGGATCCTGAAACAGAAAAAGGACACTAACAGAAAAACTCCTGAAATTCAAATAAGGTTTGTAATTTAGTTAGCAGGATTATACCAATACTAATTTCCTGGTTTTGATAATTGTATAACACTTACATAAACTGTTACCATCAAGAGAAGCCTGGTGAAGGACATATGTGAAGTCTCTACTATTTTTGCATTTTTTTCTGTAAGTTATTTCAAAATAAAAAAATTTAAATTACAGATAAAAAGGAAGGAAGCCAACCACTCAGCTAAATGCCACATGGGTTTAAGGTACAAAAACTGTGAACCTATTTAACTGGTGCCACTCCAGCAAAGGACTCACTGTCTCTACAGCAGATACTGGCTCCACACCTATTTTTGCTGATACTTCTGAAGCAGTAACACTTGGATTGAATCTTTTAAAAAATATCAAATTTACTTCAGAAAGCTTCTAGATTCTTATTTAAAATTAAATTAGTACAGAAAGTCAAAGTGGTGTAATGAATTAGTCTATATTGGGAGTCTCATAATAAAGAAAAACCAGAAACTCAAGGGTTAGTGCTTGCATACTAGTATTGCTTAATAATCAAAAAAAGCGCGCACCATGATCAAGAAATGCCAACCGGAACTGATCTGTGGCAACAGACCTATACTTTTTATAACACAAAATATGAAGTATTGTTATTGTATATATGAGTAAATATGAAAGTATTCAGATTATGAGTAATCCCATGCTTCTGTTACTTCCTGAATACTGTATTCATAGACCAGTAGGCTGGTCTTATGTGCCCACTACCCAAAATGTGACCCAGCTCTCATGGCCTAATGACGGTCTGGGGATATCTCTGTGGAGATCTACAAGCATATATACAATTTTAACCCTATTTTTATATATTCATACATGCCAAAAACCCTTCATCAATATGGCCCAGGTTTTTGGTGTCTTTTTTGATGATTACCTAAGGCACTAAAATAAGTGTTCTCATAAATAATAAAGAAACTTCCCTAGCAAATGAGCTACTAAAATTAGGTTCTCTAGGTTCATTTTGTTTTTTTTCATTTTTATGACATTTTATTGATTTTTCCTGAGTTTATTTTTCTTATGGTTTACAAGGTTTTTTAAAAATTGGTATTATTTTCAATGGACAAATCAGAATTGTATACATTTATGAGGTATAATGTAATGTTTTGATCTATGTACACACTGTAGAATGATTAAATCAAGCTAATTAGGCCAGGTGCTATGGCTCATGCCTATAATCCTAATATTCTGGGAGGCCAGAGCAGGAGGATTGCTTGAAGCCAAGAGTTTGAGGTTGCAGTGAGCTATGATGATGCCACTGCACTCAAGCCCAGACAAAAAAAAAAAAAGCGCAAGCTAATTAACTTATCTACTACCTTGCTTACCTATTGTTTTTTATGATGAGATATTTGAAATTTACTCTTTGAGATTTTTGTTTAGTTTTTCAGAAATTCAATTCACCTATATTTCGACAGCATTCCTTTTCTAAGGGGACTGCATGTAAAAGGGCTCACACCTATATGGTACTGAAAAAACTCTTTGGAAGAAATGGAAGGAAATACTGATTGAGTTTTTATTTAAATGAGATACTATAATAAATGAATCTGAGTCAGAACTACACAAAATGATAAACAGGTATATTTTCAACAGACCAACCCCAAACCCAGCAGAAGAAGTGAAATCATTAAGATCAAATCAGAACTAAATGAAATTGGCAACAGGGAAACTATACGGAAGATTAATAAAACAAAAAGTTGGTTCTTTGAAAAAATAAACAAAATTGACACACCCTTGGCTAGACTAACGAAAAGCAGAAAAGGAAAATCTCTAATAAGCTCCATCAGGAACAATAAAGGAGAAATTACAACTGATACCATGGAGATACAAGATATAATTTATGAATACTACAAAAACCTCTATGTACATAAACTGGAAAATTTGGAGGAAATGGACAATTTCTTAGAAACACACAGCCTCCCTAGGCTCAACCAGGAAGAAATAGAATTCCTCAACAGACCAATATCAAGTACTGAAATTGAAACAGCAATAAAAAACCATCCTAAAAAGAAAAGTCCTGGACCAGATGGTTTCACATCCGAATTTTGCCACACCTACAAAGAAGAACTGGTGCCTATCCTGCAGAAATTATTCCACAACATTGAGAAGGAGGGAATCCTCCCCAACACATTTTATGAAGCAAACATAACCCTGATACCAAAACCAGGAAAGGATGCAATAAAAAACAAAACTACAGACCAATATCCCTTATCAATATAGATGTAAAAATTCTCAACAAAATCCTAGCCAATCGAATCCAGGTCCTTGTCAAGAAAGTAATTCATCACGACCAAGTGGGCTTCATCCCAGGGATGCAGGGATGGTTCAACATACGCAAATCTATCAATGTAATTCACCATATGAACAGAAGCAAAAACAAAGACCATATGATCCTCTCAATAGACGCAGAGAAAGCATTTGACAAAACTCAACACCCTTTTATTATAAGAACACTAAACAAAATAGGCATAGATGGGACTTACCTAAAAATGATACAAGCCATATATGACAAACCCACAGCCAATATCATACCAAATGGGGAAAAATTGAAAGCATTCCCACTTAGAACTGGAACTAGACATGGTTGCCCACTATCTCCACTTCTATTCAACAGAGTGCTGGAAGTCCTCGCTACAGCAATCAGATAAGAGAGCGGAATTAAGGGCATCCAAATGGGAGCAGAAGAGATCAAACTCTCACTCTTTGCTGATAACATGATATTACACCTAGAAAACCCCAAGGGTTCAACCAAAGAGACTCCTTGAATTGATAAATGAATTTGGTAAAGTCTCAGGATACAAAATCAATACACGGAAATCAGAGGCATTCATATACGCCAACAACAGTCAAAGTTAGAACCAAATCAAAGACTCAATTCCCTTCAAAATAGCAACAAAGAAAATAAAGTACCTTGGAATATATTTAACTAAGGAGGTAAAAGGCCTCTACAAGGAAAACTATAAAACACTGAAGAAGGAAATAGCAGAGGACGTAAACAGTTGGAAGAATATACCATGCTCGTGGGTCGGCAGAATCAACATTGTTAAAATGTCTATACTACCCAAAGTGACCTACAGAGTCAACGCAATCCCTATCAAAATATCATCATCATTTTTCAAAGATATAGAAAAAATAATTTTACGCTTCGTATGGAACCAGAGAAGACTCCGTATAGCAAAAGCAATCCTAGGCAATAAAAACAAAATAGGAGGTATCAATTTACCAGACTTCAAACTATACCACAGGCTATAGTCATTAAAACAGCTTTTTACTGGCACAAGAACAGGGACATTGACCAGTGGAACAGAACAGAGAACCCAGATATGAAACCATCCTCATATAGCCAACTAATCTTCGACAAAGCAGACAAAAACGTACACTGGGGAAAAGAATCCTTATTCAATAAATGGTGCTGGGAAAACTGGATAGCCACATGTAGAAAACTGAAACAAGACCCACACCTTTCACCTCTCACAAAAATCAACTCATGCTGGGTAACAGACTTGAACATTTAGGTGTGAAACTATTAGAATTCTAGAGGAAGATGTTGGAAACACTCTTCTAGACATTGGCCTAGGCAAAGAATTTATGAAGAAGACCCCAAAGGCAATCACAACAGCAACAAAAATAAACAAATGGAACCTGATCAACTTAAAAAGCTTCTGCACAGCCAAAGAAACTCTCGAGAGAGCAAACAGACAACCCACAGAATGGGAGAAAATTTTTGCAAGCTACACATCTGATAAAGGGCTGATAACTAGAATCTATTTAGAACTCAGGAAAATCAGCAAGAAAAAATCAAACAACCCTATCAAAAGATGGGCAAAGGACATGAACAGAAACTTCTCAAAAGAAGACAGAATAATGGCCAACAAACATATGAAAAAATGTTCAACATCTCTAATCATCAGGGAAATGCAAATCAAAACCACAATGAGATATCATTTAACTCCAGTGAGAATGGCCTTTATCAAAAAGTCCCCAAACAATAAATGCTGGCGTGGATGTAGAGACAAGAACACTCCTATACTGCTAGTGGGACTGCAAACTAGTTCAACCCTCTGTGGAAAGCAATA